ATAAGGTGGTCAGGCACTCCCATTTCTTAAGGACTTGCCATAGTTTGTTGTGGTCCACACAGTCAAAGGCTTTTGCATAGTCAATGAAGCAGAAGTAGATATTTTTCTGGAACTCTCTGGCTTTCTCCATAATCCAGCGCAAGTTAGCAATTTGGTCTCGAGTTCCTCTGCCTCTTCGGAATCCAGCTTGTACTTCTGGGAGTTCTCAGTCCACATACTGCTGAAGCCTTCCTTGGAGGATTTTGAGCATAACCTTCCTAGCGTGTGAAATGAGTGCAATTGTACGGTAGTTGGAGCATTCTTTGGAACTGCCCTTCTTCGGGATTGGGATGTAGACTGCTCTTTCCCAATCCTCTGGCCACGGTTGAGTTTTCCAAACTTGCTGGCATATTCAGTGTAGCACCTTAACATCATCATCTTTTAAGATTTTAAATAGTTCAACTGGAATGCAATCACCTCCACTAGTGACGATGTTAGCCATGCTTTCTAAGGCCCACTTGACTTCGCTCTCCAGGATGTCTGGCTCAAGGTCAGCAACTACATTGTCTGGGTTGTCCGGGACATCCAGATATTTCTGGGATAATTCCTGTGTATTCCTGCCACCTCTTCTTGATGTCTTCTGCTTCTGTAAAGTCCTTTCCATTTTTGTCCTTTATCACGTCCATCTTTGCACAAAAGGTTCCTCTAATATCTCCAGTTTTCTTGAACAGATCTCTGGTTTTTCCCTTTCTATTATTTTCCTCCATTTCTTTGCACTGCTTCATTGAAGAAGGCCCTCTTATCTCTCCTTGCTATTCTTTGGAAGTCTGCATTCAATTTTCTGTAACTTTCCCTATCTCCCCTGCATTTTGTTTCCCGTCTCTTCTCTGCTATTTGTAAGGCCTCGTTGGACAGCCACTTTGCTTTCTTGCATTTTCTTTTTTTGGGGATGGTTTTTGTTGCTGCCTCCTGTACAATGTTATGAGTCTCCATCCATAGTTCTTCAGGCATTCTGTCCACCAAATCTAGTTCCTTAAATCTGTTCTTCAGTTCCACTGTGTATTCATAAGGGTTTAAGTTTAGATTGTAACTGAATAGCCCAGTGGTTATTCCTACTCTCTTCAGTTTAAGCTTGGTTTTGCTATAAGAAGCTGATGATCAGAGCCACAATCAGCTCCATGTCTTGTTTCTGCTGACTGTATACAGCTTCTCCATCTTTGGCTGCAGACAATATAATCAATCTGATTTCGATATTGCCCATCTGGTGATTTCCATGTGTAGAGTCGCCTCTTGTGTTGTTGGAAAAGAGTGTTTGTGATGACCAGCTTGTTCTCTTGACAAAACTCTACTAGCCTTTGCCCTGCTTCGTTTTGAACTCCAAGGCCAAACCTTCTTTCTTTGGTGTCACTTCTGGAAGGTGTTGTAAGTCTCCATAGAATTGGTCAATTTCAGCCTCTTCAGCATCGGTGGTTGGTGCATAAACATGGATTACTGTGGTGTTGAAAGGTCTGCCTTGGATTTGTATTGAAATCATTCTATCATTTTTAAGACTGTATCCCAGTACAGCTTTTCCTACTCTTTTGCTGACTATGAGGGCTACTCTATTTCTTCTACGGGCTTCTTGCCCACAATAGTAGATACGATAATCATCTTTCGAAAAATCAACATAAGAAATTGGACCAATATCTCATCTCGGTATTTCTATAGTGTACAAATGGAAACCAATTATCTAGAAACACGGTCAATCGTTATCCTCTATTCTCATGTCTAGCATGGGTAGTAAGTTTGTCCATATTTCTGATCACCACATTCGGGTGTGAAAGATGGGCAGTGAAGAAAGCTGACAGGAAAAATATAGATTTACTTGAAATGTGGAGCCTTGTGGATATGTACTCTGCACTGCCAGAAAGACAAACAATGGGTCCTAGATCAAATCAAGCCTGAAAGGAAATATGTTGAAGCTGAGGCTGTCCTACTTTAGGCACAACCTGAGAAGGCAGGATTCTCTGGAAAAGACAATAGTGCTGGAAAACCCAGAAGGCAGCAGGAAAAGAGGAGGACTAAATACAAGATGGACTGACTCTCTAAAGGAAGCCAGAGGCTTAAGTTTCCAAGAGCTGAGCAGGGCAGGATATTTTGGAGACTGCTCTTTCAAGGGGGTCCCCATAAGTCGGAAGTGACTTGATGGCACATAGGAGGAACAACAAGTTTGACCATTAATGCTAGGTGCCTTATTAGTGAGCACTGACTACCACCAGTTCTCTAGGGCTTTGGGCACGAATTTTCCCAGTGCTATCTAAAAATACGGGGGAGTGAAACCTTCTCCTTGGAGAACATTACTATTTCCTTTAATCCTGAGCAGTGGTCTACCTAACACTGCCGATCAAAGAAAGAAAGTAGTATTATGAGTCACAAGTGCCAATAAACAAATAGTCTGGACACTGGCAGAAGCCTCACCATGTTCTATGTCCGTGTTTTCTTCAGAGGACTGAATATTAAAAACCTCACCTGCGACTTTTCTCTTTCAGCTTCTTGCTGGCTCATGAGGAAGTCCTCCACCAGGGCCACTGCCTGGGAACACGTGTCGGGCCCTCCTGCACGGATCCAGCCCTGGAGGTCCGGGGGAAGGCTGGCCAGGAACTGCTCCAGGATCAGCAGCTCCAGGATCTGCTCCTTGCTGCGTCTCTCCGGCCTCAGCCACCGGTGGCAAAGCTCCTGGAGGTGGCTGTGAATCCTCCGAGGCTCATCAATCTCCTCATAGCGGAACTGTCTGAAGTGCTGGCGCTGCACCTCCATTTTGATGGCGTCCTCTCTCAAAATGGCAGCCTTCACTTTCCCATAGTCCTCCCTGTCTCTGGCTTCTAGGTTATTGAAGGCCTGTTTGGCTTCACCACTGAGCGCCGGCTGGAGCCGGGCCACCCATTCCCCTTGAGGCCACTGGCAGGCTTTGGCCACTTGCTCAAAAGAGGCCAGAAAGGCCTTGGCGTCCTCCCACGGGGCCATCTCGGTCAACTCCGGGCTTTCCCACACCGCAGGAGGAGACGGCACTGTCTCCAGGAACTCCTGCCACTGGGCTTCCCAGCGGTGCTGCATCCCTCTGCATGACTCCTGTGGGACATCCCGGAGCACCCTCCAGCCCGGGTGCGCCCTCGGGTATTCAGAAGAAGCCAAACCAGAGCATTTTTTAATTCTTTCCGGCTCTTCCGCTACTTCTGGACTTGCAGTCTGGGGCTCCATTTGCAGCCTCACCTTGAAATCCTTGATTGGGAACCGAAGAGCTGGTGAAGGAGGAAAAACCTTCCCCACTCCAAAACGGGTGGCCTTATGAGAAACAAAACAAGTTTTTGTTTTCCTCCTTCTTGACCGATGCTACCTCCGTGGTGGAGAGAAGCAGCTTAATAACAAAAGAGTTGGACTAGTAGCCGAAGCGGTGAAATCCATACCACGAGGGGGGGGGGAGCCCGTTAATTTGCAGAAGGGACCCCTTCCCTGAGGAAACAAACAGACACAAGATGGAGGCTTAAATAACCACAGCAGCAGTCGTTCAAAGCAAAGTAATGAGCAGTGGCACGAGACTTTGAAAGGCGGCAGACGTTCCATCCGTTTCTGCTCCTGCATCCGATCTAAACCAGTCAACAGCAGCAGTTGTTCAAAGCAAAGTAATGAGCAGTGGCACGTTTTTCACATCTGCAGGTAGAGCTGTTGTGAAATGGCGCGGGTGTGATGTGATCCGTTACCAAAGTAACTGTTCTGAACACGGCAGGTTCATCCACATACTCTCTGATACAAACACAAGAAAGATGAAGAGCATGAGTAGTAGACACAGGACTCTATTTGAAAGGCATCGAACTCTGAGCTTCTGGCTTTGCAGCCAGATACCTAAACTATCCTGCCAGCCGCATATTAAGTGGCTAAATATTAGCACAAGAATAGGCAATTCCGTTGAGTGTAGGGGCCCCAGAATGCTCTCGGAGCTGCACAGGTTAGAAAGTCTGCTTCATATGCAAACACCTGAACTTTATTTATTTTTTATGTATGTATTACTTTAATGTGCAGTGTCTACTGCCCCATTAATGCCAAAGCACTATTCTGGAAAGTTTACAAAGGATGAAACACAAAGCTTCACAACAAAACCCTAAAATATAACACAAATAGCAGTATGGCAGGAACATTAAAAAAAAACCAGTGTCACGAACAAAGTACAGTGGTGCCCCGCTTAACAATTACCCCGTTTAACGCCGAATCAGTTAAAACTTAACTTTCTGCTTCACGATGCGTTTTTTGCGATCGCAAACGATGATTGAATGGGGAAAATCCACTTCCTCACTATCGGTTCCCTGCTTCGGGAACCGGTTTTTCGCTTTACGACGATCAGAAAACTGCTGATCATCAGGTTTCAAAATGGCCGCTCGCTGTTCAAAATGGCTCCCAGCTCTGCTTAGGACGGATTCCTCGCATTACAGGCACTAGAAAATGATCGCCCTATGGAGGATCTTTGCTGGACGCTGAGGTATTTCACCCATTGGAACGCATTGAGTGGTTTTCAATGCGTTTCAATGGGCTTTTTACTTTCGCTTGACGACAATTTCGTTCTACAGCAATTTCACTGGAACGGATTAACATCGTCAAGCGAGACACCACTGTATCACAGCAAAGTGGAGCTGGAGGCAAAACGCTCCACTCTGGAGTTATTTAAGAAGCAGTATCTCTTCAACCTATTTAAAAGGTCATTCTCAGCTTCTGGAAATTTCTAGGAATGACAATGTAAAGCTTTTCTTTCTTTCTTTCTTTCTTTTTTGGCTGGGGGAAGGGTCTGTTTTTCTGGGTAGGGAGACTGGGAGTTTACCAGCCCAGCACCACAATGTTAACGAATAGAGAGGAAGTCTTGGGTTCAGTTCCCATAACAAAGTGACTAAAAGCCAGTAGCAAATTGCACGTAGAGTAGGCCCATTGAATAAGTAGAACTCACAAGACGTAGTGGACTTACTAAATCCCCACTGATTCAAAAGGCCAATTCTAGTTGCAATTTAATACTGTTCTTCATCTACAGTTTTACAAGCAGAAGACCTCAAGATCAATCCTGGGCATTTCCTGTTGAAAAAGAAAGCATGTGTGAAATGACACCTTTCCTGCCTCCTTTGCTGGATCACACCTGACGGAAGGCACAGATATTGGCAGAAATAATCCAGGCCTGCTGCTACTATGTGCCATCAAGTTGGAACCAACTTACAGCAACCCTAACAGGGCTTTCAAAGTACAGTGGTGCCTCGCACAGCGAGGTTAATCTGTTCCGGATTAACCCTCGCTTTGTGAAACATCGCTGTGCGGAAAGAAAAAAGCCATTGGAATGCATTAAACTTAGTTTAATGCGTTCCAATCAGCTGATTTACTCACTGTACAGCGATGTTCCTCTATGGCCAGCGGCCATTTTCGCGCCCTCCCCTCGCTTAATGAGGGTGCGAAAACGCTGCGCGCGGCCATTTTGGGGCTTCCGGTGGCCATTTTGTAGCCGCGGAACAGCTGATCGGCGGGTCGCAAAGCGAAGGTTGGTAAGCGAACTGCTTACCGACCTTCGCTCTGCGTGATCTTGAAGGAGTGGCTTTGCTAGTTCCACTGGCTGAACAGGGATTCGAATCCAGGTTTCCTGAGTCCTACACTCTATCCACACACTGGCTCTTTAATCTTATGGATATATTCTGATTATTTTTGTAAAGAATGCAAGCGATCTTGAAAGAGTGGCTTTGCTAGTTCCACTGGCCCCATGAGTTTCCATGGCTGAACAGGGATTCGAATTCAGGTTTCCTGAGTCCTACACTCTATCCACTACACCGCACTGGTTATCAAGCCAGGCCTAGTAAATAATGTGCCATTAAGCTGATTTCCAATTTACTGTATGGTGAACCTCACCACAGTTGTCTAAGTAGAGAGTTGTCAGAAGTGGTTTACTGTACTATTCTTCTGGGGAAGCCCTGGGACTGTGCAGCTTGCCCAAGGCTTCATAGGCTGGCTTTTCTCCCTGGAAGCACAGAGGGGAATCAAACTCACCAAATCTGACTCCACTGCCCGGTACCCAATTCAGTGAGGTTCTTATGTTCCTAAGCTGCCTGGGGAATTTTTGGCTATTAAACTTTCAACCCAACTTTTATCCACACACACACACTCTAGGGCAGAGTACAGTGGACCCTCTACTTAAGGAATTAATGCGTATTGGAATGGTGGCTGCAAGTCGAAAAGTCTGTAAGTCAAATCTCCATTGACCTACAATGCACTGAAAACCGATTAATCCCAAAACCAGTGGTTTTTATTCTATTTTTATTCCATTTTGGGTTTTTTCTGGTCTGTAAGTCGATTCTCTGGCTGCAAGTCGAATCTAAATTTTGCAGCCAGAGAAGTCTGTAACTCGAAAAGTCTGTAAGTCGAGCGGTCTGTAAGTCGAGGGTCCACTGTACAACATGGGCGAGCAGCACATATGCACCCCACCCACTTTTGTGTCGCCAACCACCATAATAAGAACAAACAAACAAACACACAGGTGAGAATAAAGGGAGAATACCAAGCCAGCATCCCTTGAGCTCAGAAAGGTAAGTTTTAACTGTTCCTGCTTGCTCTGGAAACGAACTTGAACACACCTTTGTCATCATAACAAGCTGCAAGCAAAGTTAGGAAATAATTAGTTATAAGTAACATAGTTATAAGCAACTAGTTACTTTTTGTGAGTGATGTAAGGTAGTTATTGCAAAGTTACTTTCAGATATACCAAAGAGTTCTTAAGTTATGGATGACATCAAGAGTAAGACTACGCAGGCCTACTTGTGTCCAGTGTAGAGCAATTTCTGCAGGGCCAGGAGCCATCTTCCCCTCTAATGAATGCAGAAGATCCACACCACCAACCCAACACGGAAGGGAACCCAATTTGCAATTTTGAGTAAGAAGTTTCGTCTTAGTGAACATGTTATGGGCTTCATCCAGGCTGTGGATTACAATTTGCCCACTCTTGGTCTGGAGTATTTTGCCAATTAGTTTTTTTTGGTGACCGGTTATCAGGAGAACAAAAACCCAGTCTTAATCTAAAAGTCCAATTACGCAGGCATGCAGCTCTGAGGAAGTTCTGTCTCTAGAGGACAACACATACCATCAGCCTCTGAGTGTAAGATAAGCATCTTTTCTAGCTTAACCTTGTGATATGCTTTTTTTGGGTGTGAAATTCAAAGGGAGATGCAAAATTGAGGGGATACTGAGGATATTGGTACTTCCAAGTACCAATGTTTTATAACCGAGCTTCTTACAAATTTCAAGAGTTGCCTCATTCAAAATGCACAAGCACCAACCAAGGGTTGAACTGCTCTCCACAACTCACATTTAAAAAAACTTGATTCTTACACCTAGTGCCTAGTTCGTCTGCATAAAACTTTAAAGCACCTCAGACACGTCCTGGCCACAATACTACTTCACAGTGCTCTGATCTGAAAAGTCTCATTTTCAATGTTTTTTTTTAATCCATCTTGTGAATATAGTTACGTGAGTCAACTGCATATGTGCATGCTATGGCTACAGAGAACCATCACAAACAGAACCGTCTGTGTCCCCAAATAAAGACTGGCTCATCCCACAAATCTGTATTTTATTGATTGATTGATTGATTGATTGATTTGATTTGATTTGATTTATATCCCACCCATCTGGTCTAGTTGATCATACACCTTTACAATCAAGTGTAGGAAGAAGAAACCAACTTTCATCACTATTAATCGTTCTGATTTTTCACAGCATTGATCTGCCTTTATAGCACCAAAAAGCACATCATCTTCATCCAATTCCAGGTGGAACTATGTCTGGGCCCCCTCCCCACTAACATTCAGAAGACAATTTAAAACCTCCAGGTGGAACTATGTCTGGGCCCACTAACATTCAGAAGACAATTTAAAACGCTGCTTTCTGAGGAGACTTTCCAGAGAGACCCTGTTTGATTTCACACCTCTTGTCTTTGGTGGTCTTTCATGCCTCTTGTTCCTATTCTAATAATTCTTCTTGTGTCCTTATTGTATATTACTGTATGTTTTATCTGTTGCCATGAATCGCCCAGAACTTCCACTAGTGGGGGGTGGTAAACAAACAAACAAATCTTTGCAGATTAATTAAAAGAGAGACAAAACCCTCTCCCAATGTAATATTCACATGCCACCTATTATAGCATAATTTGCATTTGCACTTGGTTAATAAAAACCTACACAGTATTAAAAAAATAAAGGAGCAGAACTTTCTTCCTCACACCCCATCCAAGCTGGCAAGCATTCCTGAACAGTTTCATTTGCAAAAATCAGAGAAGTACAATTCTTGAAAATTCTTAATATTTATTTATTGATTGATTATTGTCAGGCTAGTGGTTAGTGCTAGTGGTTTAGGTACCTGGCTGTGGAGCCAGGGGTTGGGGGTTCGATTCCCCACTGGGTGGCCTTGGGCAAGCTGCACAGTACCAGGGCAACCCCAAAAGAAAGGAAAGGTAAACCACTTCTGAGTAGCCCCTCTACCCAGGAAACCCTGGAAAGGGTTGCTGTAAATCAGATTTAACTTGATGTCATATAATTATTATTATCATTATTATAAAGGAAAGGCACTTCTGAGTAGCCCCTCTACCCAGGAAACCCTGGAAAGGGTTGCTGTAAATCAGATTTAACTTGATGTCATATAATTATTATTATCATTATTATCAGATCCCTGGACCTTGCCTTCCTGAAAATAGAGAAGTCATCTCAGCTCAGAGGCGTTCCTAATTTGGATTACAACTCCCATGACTCGCTGGGGGATTCTGGGAGTTGTAGTTTTTTTTAAAAAGAGGGGGGGAAGAGGGAGAGACACTTCCAAACTCTAGAGAATCAGATGAATATTAATAGCAATGCTAATAATAACAAGCCACCCTTTGCCTCCTTAGAAGCCACGTCGTCCCCACCTTCGGTTTCCCTTCGCCTTGGAGGAACCCAGAGCAAGAAGGAGCATCAAAGGCGTTTTTATCTCGCGGGGGGGGGGAAGGGACGCTTGCCTCAATAGAAAATATATATATATATATAAAAGCTTGCAGAGAGGAAAAGAGGAGCCTCACAAAGGCGACCACCCAGCCATTCAAACTCACTCTTTCCAGGCCGGTCTCCAGGTCTAAACAGCTCCGCCGAGGGTCTCGGGAATCGAGGGGGCAGGACTAGGCTTGGGGGGGGAAGCGGCGGGAACCCCTGGGGGGCAGGGGTGCTCCTTTTAGGGGGCCCCCGTCCCCCCCAAAAAATGATCTCTCCTTACCCTCGCCGACCCTGGCCCGCCTTCTCCTCCGCGGCTCCGAGGGCGGCTTCTTAATGGCGGAGCTGCAAGAGGTGGAGCAGGTTTCCCCCCCCAACCGACCATCACCGCCCCCTTCTGGACCCGCGCGGGCCTGGCTCTGCCTGCCCAACTCACTGATGCGGGTCGGGGGGGGGGAGTGCTGCCAGAAAATAAAGTAAAAAATGGCATTATCTGCACAATTAAGGGAGGCCTCAGACGAAGCTTTGCTCCCCACAGGCCCTTCAGTGACGGGCCTGCCTGAGGGGGGCTTCTTCTAAAAGGATTGTTGTGCTTTCTTGCTTGGAATGAGCCTTTGGTCCCGGCTTTTGTTCCCGGTGACTTTCTTAAACGTGACATTTGTTTGATCTTTTTCAATATGTATATAACCTTATTTATTTATTTATTTATTTATTCATTCATTCATTCATTCATTCATTCACTCCATTTATACCCCGCCTATCTGGTCATTGCGACCACTCTAGGCGGCTTACAACACAAAATACAAAACAAGCATAAAAAAAAAAGGAATTCTTACAAAATTAGAAAATTCTACAAGCTGGGCAACAAACAAAATAAATCATAATAGAGAAAGGAGGAAAGAAAATCAGGAATTTAACTAAGGGAGTTAAAATCAGGAATTAACCTAAGGGACCTTCCAACTTAATTCTTCTATGATTCTCCATTGGTTTTGCTGGGTGATCCTAGAGTTTATTAAAAAAAGGAAAAAAGCAGGCCCATCCAGCGCTTTCCCCACTGTTGTTTGTTGCTATGTGCCATCAAGTCAGCTCTGCCCCTATGAATGAGGGAGCTCCAAAATGGCCTGCCCTCAACAACAACCCTGCTCAGCTCTTGTAAACTCAAGCCTGTGGCTTCTTTTAGGGAGTCCGTCCATCCTGTATTTGGTCTTCCTCTTTTCCTGCTGCCTTCCACTTTTTTCCAGCATGATGGTCTTTTTCCAGAGAATCCTGGCTTCTCAGGATGGGCCCAAAGTAGGACAGACCCAGTTTCAACATTTTTGCCTTTAAAAATAGTTCAGGGCTTTCCCCGTACCAAGCATAATTTTATTTATTTATGTATTCGTTTATTTAAATTTAAGATACCGCTCCCCATTACTGCTGCTGCACTGCTCTGGGAAGTTCACAGGAAAATACACAGTCAAAATCAGTGTAATGAAACCATATAGCAATCTAACCACATAAAAACAAAGCTTATGTGTCATCAGAAGCTAAAAGGTCCCCAATGCATCAACTTTTCCCTAACTGGGGAACTGCTCCAACCTCCTGTTGATGTGGGTTGCTTTTGGTATCATCCCCAGCTGTACAAAATCCCTTCCAAGACGGGTTAAGCAGGTCTGTCCTTAATGACTGGGAATGTTTTTTGAGAAGCAGCCCACTTCTGTCTGTACGTATTAATCCTTCGGCCCAAGATGGTGGTCAATTCAAAGCTGTGTATTTGAGATAATACAAGATCTCAATGCCTGAAAGGCTGTAGGCCAAATATGTGCTTTGAGGGCTGAATAACAGGGTTAATCAGTAAGTATGTCAAGGGCTTCAAGGTACAGTGGTGCCTCGCTTAACGACGATAATCCGTTCCAGGAAAATCGCGTTAAGCGAAAACATAAAGCGAAAATAAAAACCCCATTGAAACGCATTGAAACCTATTCAATGCGTTCCAATGGGGTAAAAACTCACTGTCCAGTGAAGATCCTCCATATGGCAGCCATTTTTGCTGCCTGTATAGCGAGGAATCCGTCCCTAAACACAGCGGGGAGCCATTTTAATCACCCGGTGGCCATTTTGAAACTGCCGATCAGCTGTTCAAAAAACGTCGTTTTGCAAAGAATCGGTTCCTGAAGCAGGGAACTGATGATCGCAAAGCAAAATTCCCCCATTCAGACCATTGTTTTGCGATCACAAAAAGATCGTCGTTAAGCGGTTTCATCATAATGCGGGGCAATCGTAAAGTGAGGCAGCACTGTATTGGAAAGTAGCTCCCATCCTAACAGGATCTGAGAGGGAACCACTTTGAGGTATATGTGAAGTGTAGGTACATGAAGTGTTTTTCATTTTTTGAAGTTTGTTCTCTGTTTTTAAAAATAATATCAGGACAAGGGGCTTTCTGAACAACAAGCACCAGGAGTCTCCATTCTGGGAGTTCTGCCTACTTTACTGGCATCTAATGGTGCCTTTCCTAGGGAGAAAGGCCTACGTTGAAACGCTTTGAGGCTTAGCTAGGCCCAGCTCTGCCTGGGCCTCCTGCTTAGAAAAAAAGCTCCCAGCAAGCACTGGGGCAGGGACAGGAAGTGTGCTTGATCACTGAACAAAGAGAGGCTAATTACCTTAGAGAAAGTATAAAGGAGTTGACAAGCAGATGTGGAGCCAACAGAGCCCAAAGGCAACACCTTGAGAGCTCCATTTATTGACTTAGCATGAGTTACATAGTATGTTGTGAGAATTCAGATAAGATACTAGTTACCTAATTGTAACCAGGATTGGCTGAAGAAACACTTTGATCTTATGCTCTACCTCTAAGTGAAAGGGCAGAATGAGGGGTTACCTTGCCCGCTGGCAGCTGCCACTTCCTGCCAGGAGTGCGTGCACATCACTAAAACAGAATGCAGCTACAACCTTTAAGCAGACGTTTCCCACAAAAAGTAAAGACGGGCTATTTGTATTTCTGCAGTTTCCTCCCTGAAGGAAAATTCTGGTTTTGCTGCCAAGCCTGTCTATGCCTGAAGCTTTTCTCATGTTCAGGGCATTCATAAGGTTTATTTTCTGAGTGACCATTCTGGTATCCGGTGATTTCATGCCTCTGATAGAAATTCTTCCCGCACTTGGGAAGTAGATCTTGTCTCTCTCCCTTAAAGATCTCTTGAGGTTTGTTACAGCAATGTTCTGCCCACTTTTTCCCCCCTCCCTGCCAAAACATCCATAAGGAATGTTCCGGTGTGCATGAAAACAAATTCAGACATGTAGTGATACTCCCATACTTGGAGAACAAGGGTTTTCCTTCCTCCGTAGGAACTGCAGAGGTTTTGCTATCAGAACTTGAGAGACACGCCAAATTATCACTCCATTCTCTTTACATTCGCTTTGTCTCCTCTTGTCCTTTGCATCCCCATCTCAGATTATGGATTTCAGATGTTACAGGAAGATTCCTTTCGGTAAACACCCTTTGTGGTTCCTCCAACACAATCTTCCCCTGCTGCTGGGTTTTCTCCATCTTGATTCAACATCTGCTTTCATCACCTGGAGAAAGAGAGGATTCGCCCCCCCCCCAATGCTATGATCCTGTTTTTTAAAAAATCCTGCAGTGTTCTTCTGCCTGGTCTTCTCTCCTGCAGCTTCTCCCTTTCCAAATGTTTCAGAATATCTCAAATAAACAAACCGGAGACTGAACTAATTTTTGTAAACCAAGATGCTGGATAGCTCAGTAGTTTGGGTCTGCTTGCAGAGCCAGAGGTTAGTTTGATTCGCCCACTGTGCCTCCTTGATACGGGCTAGACTTGATGGTCCATAGGATCCCTTCCAGCTCTGCAGTTCTAAGATTATTACGTATTAAGATAGTCCACAATGAAATAAATCCACCAACCTTTAATGGTCCACAATCCTTTTATCTTTATTCTTTTTTGTTTGTTATACATCAGATAATCTTAGCTCTTGTCTTCATCAGCACATCTCCACTTACCTTACAGGTACATCCTGCATTTTCTTGACTGATGCAGGAAAATACAGTGTTTCTGCAATGTATAAATTAACAAAATAAAAACAAGAAGGGCAATTTTGGCTTTTTTCCACAACATCTGCCTCAGGAAATCCTGGTGAGAAGACATCTGCCTTTTTGACAGGCCAAGCCACCCACTTCTGTCCTATCCTCCTTGTAGGCATCCTTCAATCTCGAGAGACTACATATGGTAACATGCTCTGAACAGAGGACTCGGAACAGTGTCTAGTGTGGCTGAGAAGGCCAATTCGAGAGTGACCATCCCTTCCACACTGGAGACAAATCCAATCTGTCCCCTCTCCAGCTCCCTGATTTTGCTGCTTTCGGGACTGCCTCTTTGCCTCAGCCTGCTGGACAAGTGTCTTCAAATTGGGAGAGGCCGTGAAGCACCGCCTGCCTCCAGGCTGAACACTCAGACGTCAGGGTTTCCCATGTGTTGAGGTCCATTCCTAAGGCCTTCAGATCCCGCTTGCAGATGTCCTTGTATCGCAGCTGTGGTCTCCCTCTGGGGTGCTTTCCCTGCACTAATTCTCCATACAGGAGATCTTTTGGAATCCAGGCGTCAGCCATTCACATGACATGCCCGAGCCAACATAGATTTTGCTGTTTCAGTAATGTATACATGCTAAAAAAATTAACTTGTTCTAGGACTACTCTATTTGGAACTTTGTCCTGCCAGGTGATACCAAAAATGCGTTGGAGACAACGCATATAGAACGTGTTCAGCTTCCTCTCCTGCTGTGCACAAAGGGTCCGGGACTCACTGCAGTACAGGAGTGTGCTCAAGACACAGGCTCTATAGACCTGGATCTTGGTACACTATATACCGTCAGCTTCTTATTAAGCCATATTCTCTTTGTGAGTCTAGAGAACATGGTAGCTGCTTTGCCAATGCGTTCATCCAGCTCGACATCTAGGGAGAGGGTGTCAGAAATCATTGAGCCAAGGTACACAAAGTCATGAACAACCTCCAATTCTTGTGTGGAGATGGTAATACAGTAGAGGGAGGTGAGTCTATGCTCTGGCCCATGACTTGTGTTTTCTTCAGACTGATTTTTAATCCAAAGTCTTGGCAGGCCTTGCTAAAGTGATTCATGAGTTATTGGACATCTTCAACAGAGTGGGCAACAACAGCTGCATGCATTTCAGCTGGACTTTGATCTTCGCTCTCAATCTGGAGAGATTAAAGAGCTTTTCCATCAGATTTAGAGATACACGTTCTCTTGCAGTTCCAAAAGCCTGCTTCAGCATGACAGCAAAAAAGATCTCAAACAGAGTCAGCACAAGGACACAGCCCTGTTTCACTCCGCTTCAGATGTCAAAGGGATCTGATGT